TCCCTCCCTCCCTCCCTCTCTCTCTCTCTCTCTCTCTCTCTCTCTCTCTCTCCATTGCTGTTTTTCCGTTTCCGTCTGTCAGTCAGTGTACCCTACTATACTGGCGCAGCGTCTATGGTGTAGTGGTTACCTAAGTTGCTGTCGCCTGCTGAAGACATGAGTTAGATTCCCAGATGAGGAGGTTTTGTGCGTTGTTGTTTTTTTCAAGTATGTCTGTCTTGTCTGCTGGCATGTTATATTATTATGATACTGATACATTCTTTCCTATGAAACATCTGTCATCGTCATCTCTCCTCCTTCTTTTTGTGTATGTGTATGTTACTCTCTTGTGACACATCTATTCTTAGCCTCTTATATGACCTAATTGTGTGGCAAGGGCCATAAAACTCTTTACTATAGCTAAAATGTTATACAATACGTTATGTCCCTCTCAGCAGGGTAGACAGGGTTGAAGCAAAACAGCCTGCTTCCTAAATGATCTAAATTCTGGCGATGGGAGTTAAAAACATTCCTGATTGAATTTTTATTAGAGGCAGAGGAATTTGCCGGTTATGACAATCTCCATAGTAAGTGAATAAAGCATCTTATGTCAGCAGGTAGTTGGGGGACGCTACTAGTAGATCCTACTTCTTTACTTTCCCTCTGTTTTTCTTTCTTTCTTTCTTTCTTTCTTTCTTTCTTTCTTTCTTTCTTTCTTTCTTTCTGTCTGTCTGTTTGTCTGTCTGTTTGCCTGCCTTACCTTTTCCCGGCACTAAATGACCATTATTATGTCGGTGTGCTTCTTATTACTCAAACTAGCAAACAAATAAACACACAGACCATTAGACTCACAGAGTACATGCAGCAGAATGCACTCGGTCTATAGGAGTGCCTATTTTAGTGAAAGCCCATGGAGAAGAATACACCACGAAGGGAATTACCTTTTTGTGTCTGGGAACAAATTGAATTTGTACAAAAATAAAAATTTCTTTTTTTGTGTGTCACTGGATGTACTGGATGTTATATGTACACAAATGTGAACAAAGTTCTTCCTTGTGTTTATCTGGGAATTTTCACCATACACAATTAAGCTGGAAACATTGGTCGCAGAATTCCCTCACATGCAGAATAAAACCTTTTGTGCCTGTCAGGGAATTTACATCATAAACAAAAGAGTGTTAAACTCTTGCAGATGCAGAACGAAGCAACATATTTTATGTAACAGAATTTACTTACGTGTTTTACACAAATAAGCATTGCTTTTCATAACGTAAAATTTAATTCATACACAAAATAAATGTGGTGTTTGTCATCCCGTGAAATTTAAGTCCAGTACCAATGAACGTTCCCTATACTATAATGGCATACCGGCGTTTGTGAGTTGCTGAGTTCGATTCTCATATGGAGGAAATTTTTATCGAGCATCTCGGTCTTTTTCCTGGTATAGTTGTCACAAGCAGGGTCTGAAGCCCGCTTCCTAGATGATATAAATTGTGTCGACAGTTGCATAAAGATAAGATAAGATAATACTTTATTATTTCAGAGGGAAATTTTTCTTGGCCTTACATAACCGTAAAAACACATGCAGGTATACATATAAATTTTAATTATATATTACTCTCTCTAAATTCAATATAACAGGAGAAGTAAAGCTGAAAAATTGTACTTATCACATCAGATCATTATTCAACTACATGTAGGAATTTAATTACAAGACTTTTAGAGTTATATAGGTAAATAGTCGAAAGAGCGATACACACTGGTGGTTATTCTGACAATAGCCTATGCTGGATGGTAAAAAAACTTCTTTTATATCTTTCTTTTTTTGTTTTTAGAGGTACATATCTGCCACAACGTGATCTTACAATTTGCGTGGAAAGGGGTGTGATGGGTCGTTTATAAATATGACTTCCACATCAAAGACAAAACAAAAAAAGTGTGGCATGGAATTTAATGTCATGCCCAAATAAACGTTGTTTATTGTAGAGTAGAATTAATATCACATACAAATAAACATTGTTTATCATTGCGTGGAAATAATATCTCTATAAATAAACCTTATTTATTGGAGCATGGAATTACTATGACATACAAATAAGCGTTATCGTAGCGTGGAATTACTACACATGCAACTAAACATTATCACATATAAATAAACATTATTTTTCCTAGCGTGGAATTAATACCACATACAAATAATCATTAATTATCGTGGCGTGGATTTAATATCTCATATAAATAAATGTTATTTATCGTAGTGTGGAATTAATATAAAAAACAAATAAATGTATTTTATCGTGGCTTGGAAATTGGAATTAGTACCTTTTTAAATTATCGCAATGTGAAATTTGTCGAGTACATCGAACATTTTTTACTATAGCATGGAATCTATTCGCTACCTCAAAATAACAAAGTTCCGTCTGACATTTTTGGCCGTTTTGGTTACTACGACCATGACGTCAGAAACCAAATGTGAGGCAGCGTGGTGGAATCAGGCTCTCGTCAAAATAATCAAAGTGAAGAAACTTGCATTTTTCCGCAGGTTTATGAATTTTTATCAAATTTTTGTGTGTTGGTCCAACACCTTGCATGCCCATTAAAGAATTCATTTCTGTGTGGATTTTTCTGAAAAACGTTGATTAAAGGCACAAAAAATGTAAATTTTCAGTTACCACGGACTCTTAATTAAGCTAAGGAAATAACTAATCTTTAGCGGCTATTTTCTCACTACTTTTACCTCTGAAAACAGGTGACCCCCACCTCCTTCATTCGCAAATATCTTGACTTGTATTCAAGATAAATGGATATTTTTCCATCCCAATTAATACAAGTGAACAAGCTTTAAGATGACACCAATAACTCTACATGCCCAAAAATTGACAAGAGCCTTATTCCACCACGATGCCTCACAAATGTTCTATCTGCTCTATCAACATTGTAAGATTATTCGGAGTCGATATGAAGATATTCAAAGATTTGCATTCGAAAAAGCTTGATATGGTGTGAAACTCAAAATTGTAAAAATTAAATTTCTCAAAACTAGGTACTGAGTAGATAGAGCTTTGCAATTCTAGGGTAGCGTATTATCTCACACGAACAAACACTGCTCATGATTTCTTGTCCTTTTCAAATACTTTTTCTTTACTTTTTCATCCTCTGTTGCAGTTAAGCGACAAGGGGAAATGCAGTTTTCTATGGTAGGCCAGTTCCACAGCTCTTTTAATTGGGATATTATCATTTCTAAGGGTTTCCTTGACTCCTTCAATCCACTTTCCTTTTCAGATTGGCGTGCGAAATGAGGCTCTGGACACATCCTATGACTCCAAAGACTCGTCGTCTCGGGGACCTCCGCGCTACATGAACACTGACCCGTCTGGCCCAGTGATGAGCGGACTGCCGCGCTATGAGAAGGACTTACACCGCGGCCGTGCCAACCGCGCTTATGACGACGAGTACAACAATGCTGATCCCGACCACAGGTAGGTGGTTTTTTAAAATTATTTTCGTGTTTTTTTTAAAAAAATTATTTTCGTTTGTTTTGTTTTTCGATGGTGTAAGGGAGCAGGTGTTGGGGTTTGTGAAGGGAAAGGAAACATGAGGGAGGAGGGGAGGGATGGGGGTGGTTACGGGAAGGGGGTGAGGTCTGCTCCTTCTTTCCGATCAAGCATCCCCATCTTCTGTATTGTATCTTTCCTCCTATTTTTACCCTAATCCTGGCCTCCTGAGCTTCTGGGTTTAGGTTTAGGGAGACACGGATTTATCATGAAGAAAAAATTCGGTGAATTGGAAGAGAATGAGATCAAAACATGTTTTAAAGGGAGCAGATATGTTGGTGTTCCCGTCATAGAATGTTGGCAGAAACTAACATTCTGATTGATGGAAAATTTCTATATTTTTCTGCCCGGTAATTTAGCGCTGTTTCCTCACACTGGTTTGCCAGTGCTGCGAATTATTGTTGCTGAGGAATGCCACCAGTGTATGGGCTATGGGCTCAAAGGGTTAAATGATGATGTCATTGGAACATGTGCAAGTAATAATTATGGCATTTCTCTTGAAATACAGGCATGAAATTTGGAAATATTGGCATGGCTTTTGAAAATTTGGACTTGGGAATTTGACATACAGACATGGAATTTTGGAACTGGGGACGTGGTGTAGGGAACGTGGACACGAAATGGGAAATATGGACATGGACATAGACTGTGGAAATATGAACATAGACATGAGACGGGAAATAAGGACATGGAGTGAATCATTTCGTCGTCTATCACACCAAAGGGCGTATCCCTGTTTTCTTACTTTTTCAGGAGAACGATTTAAAGATTTTCAGACTTAGGTTGCTTTATCCTTTTCCCTTGTCATTATAGGAATTTGCATCGTACCATCGCGATATTTGGATATTGTGTGCATGATAAGATATCAAACAATCAGCAAGATTAGTTTTGCACTTTTTTTTATAATTTCACTGCGAAAATGTGCCATCTGTGAGCATACGCCCTTTCGTGTGATTGTTCGACGTTTCGCCCTGTCCTAAATCAGTGTATACGCCCATGTATACGCCCTGTGTTTGAGTGTTCACACAAATAATTTCAGTCTTCAGACTGACCAGTAGAGGGTAAAATTCCTCCTCACTCCCCCATCCACCCGCCAAATCTTTCCCTTTCTCTTTTCCTTCCAATACCTCTCTGTTCGTCCGTCTGTCTGTCTGTCTGTCTGTCTGTCTGTCAGTCCGTCTGTATCTTTCTCTCTCTCTCTCACACACACACACACTCACATACACACATACACACACACACACACACACACACACACACACACACACACACACACACACATACTCTCAGGTACAGGCATCATGTTTTAGAAAGACAAGCAGTTTCCTTTCGTTCCAATTCCAAATTTATTATTTAAAAAAAACAACAAATTAGTGATGGATGCCACCATGCTTTGGTAGGCTCTCTTTGATCAAACATGTTTGTATTTCTCAGCTTGAATTTTGTGAGACATCTCATTCGCTGTGTGGTAGTTGACAGAAGAAAGCTTTGTGCTCGGCATTCCGGATGACGGGTGTGTTCCCAGAGCACAGAGACATCAAATCGCCGTATTTCTCCTTGCTAATTTGGTTTGGTTCTTCATTTAGTTGTTTAACTTCACAATGAATTAGGTGTGAAAGTTGGCGCTTCAGCGAAATGGACCTGTACTGCTCTTCCAGGTGACTGTTTTTAAAAAAATATTGTTGTTGGGTGGGCTTTGTTCACCCTCACTTCCATGACCTTGTTCCAGTTCACGGGAACACCTGAATCCTGATTGTCCTTGCGGACGTTGAGAACTTTCAGATCTTCTGACAGTTTTTTGTAGTTTAGAAAGTCACCGTGCTCAAGCGGGTGTACCTTGTATGGCTGTTTGCGTCGGGCCAATGCAATGATGGGAAACAGCTGTGATGGGAGAAACACATCCCCAGCATTTCCCAAGGCCGTGCTTATAGCACTGTGTGCTGAGTTACCTTCGCACTACCCATGGAACTATTCAAAGTACCTGAGTGACAGTTCCTCCATGTGTGCTGAAGTGTTGATCATGTGGAGCATCATGGTGGGCATGATTGTGTTTTTAGTTTGTCCCGGGCAGCCATCGGCGAACAAGTAGGCAGTCTTGATGCCTCTTTGGTCTTATTCCCTCAGTGCCCTGCACACCGCAGTTGATATCTCTGAGCTGCCCCTTCTGCTTTGGCCTTCGTGCCAAATGAAGCAATCACATGTGTGGTCACCCAAATTATAAAATGTCAAATTGAAATTGGAAAGTCTCCTCTTGTAGAACAAAGCATCTTCATGTGAAATTGGCAAGTATATGACCTGTTGGAAATCAAAGTTCCCTGCCAGAATGCTGTGGTCAGCTTGAGCCATCTTCTTGCAATCCTCCTTAAGTTGTCGCACCTTTTGTTTTTCTGCTTCGTGCCTGTTGTAAATTTCCCTGAGTTCATTTTTCTGAGCTTCGTCCCCTTTTCGGAAAGAGTTGCAGAGTGAGCATTGTTCATTTTTAGGACTATGAAAGGCCAGGCTTTTCGTCTTGAACACTCGTCTGTATGTATGAAAACTTGGGATGTCATTGCATGGGTTTTCTTTCACGAACATGTCGTACATTTTGGACAATGTGAGGTCTGGGCTGAGATACTCTTTGCTGGAAGAGGCCCTACAGTAGTGCGATTCCACGCGTAGAAATCTGTCAATGTGTCGACTGATTTTCTCCCTGTTTTGTTCTTCTCTTGTCTTCATCAGCTCCGATTGTCTGCCCCCTCGCTTGTCTTCTTCCACAACGCCGGTCTCCGTGATCTTTGATAAAACAACTCGGACAAATTATTTCTCTGAAATACTCAAGGTTGCAAGGAATGTGTTTCTACACACTTTCAAGCGCTTTCCATTGACTGTGAGGTAATAAGCATGCGTTTTGCTGCGTCGAGAGTTTGGTTTCCCGACCTTGGGCTCAGTCGTCTCAATATGCCTCGCAATGAACTCTCTCCTTCTGCAGGTCAGCCAGTTTATAAAAGTCCTGAAATATCTCCCTCCTATCCGTTTCTGTGATTCCAGAACACTGACGGCCAGCTCTCGTACATTCCATTCCAACGCAGCCCTTTCTCATCATTCGTGCTGGAACAACCTTTTTCGTGCCGGCGCTCACGTACTCTTCGTCAGACTGTCGCTTTCTTTTTGCATCGTTCTTCTTGTTGATTCTCTTCCGTTTCTTTGGTGACGCTTGGCGGGCTGATCCTTCAACTTCAAATGATTCTAGTAGCCGTTCGTTGCTACTCTGGGTCTCATCGGTCTCAAAATCATTGTGCCTTATGGATTCAGTGTTTGTTGATTCTGGCGCTACTGACAAGGCTCACTTTGTAGACATGTCTTCAGATCAATATAACAAAGGCAAAGTCCTGATGCTTTTATCACTTCAGTCAGTAGCGCTGCCGGGGGTGGGGGAGGGGGGTGTCTAGATAGCGTAGCCTTCTAGTTAATGAGTGTAGCATAATACGCTAAAGGAAGAACATATAGCTTAGCAATATTCATGTGAATCGTTGGACAAAAAGTAGATCTTATTGAAATTTGATCAAACCCAAGTTTGCTTTTTCGAATGGTTTCCAATCGTCAGAAGGTAAGCAGGTCAGTTTGAAAGACAGGTTGTATGTGACAGCAAGCCGCAAGCACCAGTAAGCAACTGGAACAACACAATAAGGCCGGTCTTGTTTTCTCTCTTGCACAAGCAGGATTCGATGCAACACAGTGCATGCGCTGTGTACAGGCCTATTGTATCATTAGAGGAGGGCCAGTATTACTATATTACGTCATACGGCCTTGGCCTATGCCAGAAAAAAAAAAGACAAAAGTGTAACGGTCGTTCACACGAAGGGGCGTAACCAAGGTATACGTCCTTTCGTGCGAATAGATTTGATACAACTTTGTATCAATTTTTTGCACACGAAAGGGCGCAAGCCTGCGTACGCCGTTTCGTCTGATTCGGTCGCGTTGAGTGTTAGCGTACGCCCTTTTCGTTTTTTTACTGCTAGTACTGTTATTTTAAAGCTAGGTATACGCCGTTTCGTGTGAACATAGATCTGAGGCAGCGCTATCTACTAGTAGTAACAACTCAAAACTGCCAAAATCTGGAATACGCCCTTTCGTGTGACAGGCGACGATTTGTAGGGTGTCTTTCGTGATAAGCTTTGATTTATCCAAATAATTGCTGTCTCTGAAATGAAAGGGGAGGAAAGAATAATGGCGATTTGTGTCTCCCTCTGTTCCAGGTATGGCCGAGACAATGATGCCAGGGACGACCGAGGTGACCGTGGGGAGCGCAGTTACCGGCGCCGCGAGGACCGTGACCGACGACCGCGTCACTACAGCACAGAGGACGGCACGGACGACCAGGGATACAATATTCACGGCATGGGTGACCCCAGCATGGGCACAGCAATCTGAGGAGGAGGAGGAGGAGGAACAACATGGGCTTTTGGATGTGTTGTCTTGCCCGCACACACACACACATGCGCTTACACACTAGCACACTAGTGTGCTGACATGCTGTGGCATGTGTGAGTGCCCATGCCCAAGCACACGCATACACTAGCACTCAAGTTTGCTGACATGCTCTGGCGTGCGTGTGTTAGCAACACACACATCTTTTTATGAATGCACACACACACACACACACACACACACACAAACAAGTGCGCTAATGCGCTCTGACATACATGTGTGCTAGCACACACATCTTTGTACGTATATGTGGGCATGCATGCACTCACACTCACACACACTTTCTTGTACACAGGTGTGCAAACATACTTACGGGTATGCCTGTACAAAACTAGACACATTTGGAACGTGCTTGAGTGCTTGTACCCGTACACATACGCATGTACAGAACACACATATGTAAACAAATGCCAGCAATACTGAGGCAATGAATATTATTTTCAATTTTTAAAAAGTAGATACAGCTAGTTGTGGTTGTTGTTGAAGACAAAGTGAGACTTTGACAATAATTCTAAAATTCAGAGGTATGTCAACTTTGGCATGTTAAATAACGTCGCCCGAGCACAGCAACCCAGCATCCCACAAAAACAAAATTTTACAGGAAAAGGAAAAAAACTTTGTCAGTTCATCAAACAATATTTGTTAAAAATTAGAATAGGAATGTTGCACTGGCGATGTTTATTTTATTAGCTACATGTCTAAAAATTTGACGCAAAATCCGTAACGTTACATTTAGTAGAAAAAAGCAACAAAGAAGGTGTTTTTTTATATTGTGTGGGTTACAAGGTTGTTTTACTAGGGCGACAAAAGGAAGGTTATGAGGCATGTTTTAATGGAAGATTTCTGAGGCATGTTATGTAATGAAAATAAGGCGGCTTTAGGGGATACAAAGGTATGAGATGTAGGAAGATTTCACTGCACAGCCCTAAATGACATCAGAGCTACCCTTCTCCCTCCGAGACCTAACATAGACAACACACTCTATGGAACAATGCAGCAGACCTGCACTTATCACTACATGGCATTGGACAGAAGGGAGAGAGCCGAGCTTTTGCTGGATCGATAACAACATCAACAACAACAACAACAGGAAGATTAGAATATATGTTGATAAGTAGGACTAAAGAGGGGCTTAGTGTCGTGCAGTTTGACAGTTGTTTTACCTTGGAAGAGCCAGATGGCTGTTGGATAAGTGGATGGAGAATGACAAGGGATGGGACACTTTGGCAAGAGTAAAGGGTCACACGACATGGCTGCGCAAGGATAGAGGGAGAGGAGGTGGAGAGATGTAGGGGGGAAGGTAACGAGAAGACACACAGACAACCTGGACACTTACACTTTTTCACTACCATACACACAAGCACAGGCACCCCTACACACACTCTCGTGTGCACGTGCGTGCACACACACACACACACACACACGCACGCACACACACACACACACACACACACACACACACACACACACAGACACACACTGTATGCTTCAGACTTCCTCTCTTCATACTGCCCGTGGTGTCAAACTTTTACACCTTCCATATTGACACCAGTCTTGACTATATATTGCTCACCATATTGTAAAATTTTCACACATTTCATGTTCACTCCAGTCTCAAACATTACCATGTCACACCTTCGTATCAGGTTCGAACTTTGACTCTCACAGACATCATTATTTCAAATAAGGTACTTAGAATTTAGAAAGCAGTAGGTGGGTAGTGCCGGAGTAGTGGGCGGGTGCTGTGGGGTAGTTTGTTCTCTCTTTCCTATCAATGCAAGCATTCATCATCCTGATCTCTCCTCCTGTTTTTGTGATTGTTACTCTCTTGTAACACCTGTAATATTCGACTCTTATATAGGACCTAATTGTGTTGCAAGTGCCGTAAAACTTTTGTTAAAGCAAAGAGTAAGCTGCAGGTTCTATTCCTTTTGTCCTGAAGTTGTTTTGTTTTTAGAAATGTTGTAGAAATTAAGATTTAAAGAACAATGATTTTGTTGTTTTTTTAAAAAGGAAATGAGTGCATTGTACAGGGTTGACTGAGAATACATCTGTAGAAAAATGGAATATATTTTTTTGGGCCCATTTTGAATTTTGACAGTCAGCTAGTCCTACATATTTGTTTGAGGTGCTGAAAAACCAAGAGAACGGTATAGTTTGTCCTGTCTTGTAGCAGAAATTACAGCAAGACTAAATGTTGTACTGCAATCTTTGTTAGTTGTGAAAACAGTAAAATGTTCCTAACCAACTGCATGTAAGAACATGTGTGAATTCCTCTAGGTGCCTTTGGATTGTTCAGGTTTTTCAATCTCTCTTATCTTTAGGGAGGTATAGTCCAGTCCATTTACAGCAGCCTCTGTTATTACAGGAACTTGGACGTACCAGTGGTAAATCAAATCCCCCTTTTTGTTTCTCTATAAGTGTAAGTAATGTGAGCCTGGCAGGGTTTAATTTGCTCACATTCGGATATAACGGTGATCTTGCAGCACATGAACTTACCTTCGATCCGTCAAATTATTGAAATTTGTCTTTACCAAGACATTTCGCCTGTTTGTATGATTGCTTTCCTAAACACCAACTTTCAAACACATGCCCCCCCCCCCCAGTGTTGGGGTCACTGATCGATTCAATCCCAGTGTCGGCAAAACAGCCCACTGGAAGAGGACCTGCGGTAATTGAATATCTATAGTAAGCTGAAGGTACAATTGTACTGGTAGTTTCCCTTGATAACGGTTATAACACTTTTGAAAATGTTGTGTGGTGAAGTCTTATACAAAGCAGTCAGTTTTTCCTCTCTTTATCCGTCAGGGTTTATATATGCGTTGTCCCTCATTCTTCTTTTTAAAATTTAAGTTGCCTACATGTAAAGTTACCTGGCAGTCCGACGAGTCGTGTCGTGTCTGTCAGGGGGCCCCCCGTTCAAGATAAGTGTTGCCTCGTCGTGGTCCTGAGTCCGACTGAATACCTCAGTGAGTCTCTCAGACGATCTCCGCATAAGTTCCCGCGGTACCTTTGATATCATCCAAGGGCGTGCCACTCCCTTAATTATCTTGTCCCCACAGTAAAGACAAGAGTCATGTCCCGTGACATCTCACCTACAATGCGAGCTTGTGTCTCTGCCCTTGAGCTAGCCTCTCTCAGTGTTGAACGGATGCAACTGATATTTCTATAGCAAAACCGATTTCCGTATTCTATAATGGATTCTGAAAGTTCAGCATTATTTTTCTGTGCACTATTTCTCTTTTTATTCTTATCTAATTTGGTGTGAGCACTAAGGTGTTCTAGTAATCTTTGATATATATACGTGTTTGAAAAACTTCACAGTGTCTCGCAAATACTGTCCAAAGTGTCCACAGGCAAGTCGCAGCAATTAATAATGTCGAATGACCGTAAAATCTCAGACCAGAAAATTTTCCCCACTTTTGGTTCATCTGTTATGCGTACCTCCCTTGTGCTTGGTTATGATATATCAATGACAACTCTGTAGTCAGACGAGCTTTTGAGCTCTGATTGTTTAGCTCAGAAGTTTAGTAGTACCTTATACTTCAGGAGAGCCTCTCACCTTCCTCGTTTTATCAATTCGGTCCTGAGCACAGATTGTTCAGCGGAGAAGTTTATTAGTACCTTACACTTTTTTGACAGATGAGAGCGCAGCCTTCCACTACCTTTTTATCAGTTCTGACCTAATTATGTTGCCATAAATGAATCTTGAGCACTGGTTGTTTAGCCGAGTAGTTCATTAGTTATAGTAGTACCTCGACTGCGCGAGCCTCCTGCCTCCATAATCTTATCAGTTCTGACCACATCGTGTTGCCATAAATCCCAATAATACCAATGTCCCATTTTGTATAAAAAAGACTAACACACACAAAGCGACATCTTCACTTTCTTACAGTATGTTGTACAATACGTGAGATGTATTTGTACCGAGATTTGGGCTTGCCAGGGGTGGTTTCTTCTTCCTTATATTTACACACTGCTTGTACATTTCTAATTTCTCTGTATATGACATTATCACATATATAATATGGGGTACAGTTTATTCCCATCTCTATATTATCATAGGGGCTTGGTTATTACTTACTCCGAGTCTTGGATGTTGCCCCCCCCCCCCCCCATTTTTCTCACTGATATATATATGCTCTGAACCAGTACTTCTCATCATTCTTATAGCCTGTGCCCACTTTTGTCTCTTGTAAGAGGCTAATATTTTTGTACCACACACACCGACTCGTATTTCCAGGCAGGCATTAGATAATACCTTTTGCTACTTTGGTGATCCCGGCCATGCCCCTAAATGACCAAACTACCCGCTTGTGGGTGCTGTTACCCAGGTTTGGAGGCACCCCTCGAAGCCGCGATGGTTAACACTTTGTCCATTCAAGTAACGTTTGCTGAAATGTGAAAAGTTTTAGTTCAATAGCACTTTGTCCATTCAAGTAACGTTTACAGAAATATGAAAAGTTTTAGTTCAATAGCACTTTGTCCATTCAAGTAACGTTTACAGAAATGTGAAAAGTTTTAGTTCAATAACACTTTGTCCATTCAAGTAACGTTTACAAAAATGTGAAAAGTTTTAGTTCAATAGCACTTTGTCCATTCAAGTAACGTTTACAGAAATGTGAAAAGTTTTAATTCAATAGCACTTTGTCCATTCAAGTAACGTTTACAGAAATGTGAAAAGTTTTAGTTCAATAGCACTTTGTCCATTCAAGTAACGTTTACAGAAATGTGAAAAGTTTTCGTTCAATACACGGGACTGACTCAAAATGTTACCTTTCTTCTCAAACCGTTTGTAACTCTGTGTCAGTTTGTGCTTTATCGGGCACAGTTTTGGACCGCCAGGGACAGAGAGTAGCTCTAGATTTAGTTGTCAGTCGCCTGTAAGTAGACCTGGCTTGTAAATACTACCAACTATCTCTGAGGGAAGAGATTTCGTTGTTCTGAAAAGTATTGCTGAATGTGAATCTGTAATTAGTTTGATGAAATGCATCTAACAGAAGCAGTATGTAGAATACGGCCTATAACGAACGGTGTACGTCACAGCAGTATCTTGGCTCCTTCGGCTTATCAGAAAAAAATTAATGGCATACGTCATGTAGGGCACAAAACGGTAAGTAAGAACAGAAAAGTTTTTCCATGTGGCGTAGATGTCTCTCTCTGGAGGACAACCCATCTTTGAAATAGCCGCCGTTTTTCTGCTGGAAGTGGGTGGACACCAAAGCACTTTCTTCTATCCACTCTGAGATGTGTCCGGTATAAGCAGACCGTGGAGTGCTATACAATCCCAGAACAATGTCATTCCAGACTTGATTTTGCCTTCATTGTGCACCTTTTCCTTTCTTTTCTCTTCATTTTTATTGTACAGTTGTGTATTACTTTGTCTTCTGCAACATCTCGTTGTACAAGCGGGATTTTTAATTTTTTGTTATTTTAGATGATTAGATAATGATTGTTGAACTGATTCATGCTGACAACAACCGTAACATTCCATACTTTATCATTATTCAGACATTCCACTTTCATTTCAATTCTTCAGTTGTTGATTCAATTCGTGTACATAGAACATAAAATGACCCAGTACTATAAACAGGGGTATGAGTCTTTGACACAATTGTCTGCCCTTTTTTGACTGATGCGTGATCGCTGCGTCTGTATGTACTGTTAATGCATCTCAAAGTAATGTAAGTCTCTTGTTCAAATATATTGGACATTTTCTATCTAGTGAGGACATTTTTTCAGGTTGTGA